AAATAATTGGTTCTTATCTCTTTTAGCGTAAACTATGATTAGCCTGATGTTTCTGTTGGACACAGAGTTCCAAACAGACTTCTGGACCCCATACAATCTTCTTTGAAAATTCTGGTGGTTAAACCCAAAAAGGGTTCCAAGCCCAATGACCAGTAATTTTTGAGCTGGCTTAGAAAATAACCCAGAAGAGACTTCAGTCCAGAGTAAATGAGACCAAGGGTCCACATGAAACAAGAATGGATTTTTTGTGTCGGCAAAAGCTACTCACTGGATAAAAAGCACTATAGAAGGTTGTTTGTAATATCTAAATACAGCAAAAAGACTGAACTAATTCAAGCAATTAATCTTCTGGACAGCCTGAATGAAATCACAGTTCTCACTTCCACCTACTGTGTTACAAGTAAGAGCATCAAAAATTACCAGTGATTCTAAAAGATCATCTTTTCTGATGACTACATGATTGAAATCATAGAAGAGTTTCAGCCACAGGTGCCTGAGTACCTGTGGCTGGATACATTCATGAAAAAAGTGTACTATGTGATGAATTTTGACACAGTAATGCTAATATGTTGTATGGGATTTAATCTGGTACCATATGTTAGTCCTACTTGGAGAAGACCCATTAAAATTAATGGGGCTGAAGTTGGGCTAATATTGGCCTGGTTCATACCACCACCACCACAGGTTTATTGTCATGAATGTACACTGCCCAATGGTTCCCACTTTGTCAGAAGTTATTAAGTTAATCCTGGATGTAGCAGTGGAATTTCCTGCAATCTGATTACCACTGAGATCCCTTCCAATTCTTTCTGTATGGTACTTTATCCCAATGTATCTGCTTAGGATTCCCCACCAAAGGAACATCCAGCCTTGGAACTACAAGAAATGACAAAGTTACGGAAGCTACCAGAAAGACATACCCTTAACCTGCTCTCTTGTTCTTACACCTCAAATACAACTGAACATCACTAAATCCAATATAGGAACTTAAAATTTATTTCCCTAGCAACACATGCACAAATACACACATATGCACATTAACAGAAAGGTCAGAATTCTGCCTCTCACTCTTAAAAATCTTAACAGTCTTATACCCACAAACGTGGAAGTAAGCACTCTCAATGAGAAATTTCTGCTTATAGGATTATAATAGATCCTAAAGAAACTAAAAAAGATCTTAATTTTTTAAGAACACCACACACCTTTTTATTCCTCTCTCCATGGTACTGTTTTCCTGAGCACAACTGCAAAATTAAGGCAATCGGATGGAAATATAGCTTCAAATTCTTTATCCTAAAACAGTTAACCAATTGTGTCACCTTTCTAATTCTCAGGTTTTATAACTCAAGTCAGAGCAACCAGTAAAAACTTCTGATGCAACTAGAAATATTTCAAAGAGCATACATTTTCCATTTATTTGCGAACACTTCTGCATCATAATCTAGTTAATGGGCACAAATATTTTTATTATCTTCATCTGTGCTTGCAACATAATGATTAAAAAAGAAAAGCCCACAAAGCCCACACCTCCTGCCCCCACATGCTGTGGTTACGTTTGAGATACTTTTGTTTTCTCCATGTTCTAAAAGAGTGTCAAAAATGTAACCACAATATGTTGTCTGTTTATAGGAATGAGAATAGCAGTGAGAGAATGTTTAATGCATGAGCAGTGTGAGGGATCTGTTGCAAGACAGCATTTGCACTCTTTCTCAGCATGTAAGGCATATGTAATTTAAGCAGAATCTATGGAATGACAAGTTAAAAGAACAAAACAGCACATCTAACGAGACAATGGGAGAGATGTATTAAAAAAAGAAAGAAAAAGATCTTTGCCATATCTGTGAGACCACCAAGTGCATGTGCAGGCTTGCTTGCCTGCCACTTCTTTACATATTAGCAGGGGTAGACAAACAAAAACCAGGACAGAAAACACTGTTTATATTCCAAGCTCTTGGCAGTAATGTACAGTCAACATATAAATCTCTGCTCCTGCTAAACAGATTGGCAGGCAACAGGAAGCATCGCAAGCAGTGAAGCAACTTTATTCTCAACAAGTGACAAGAACTGCAAAACCTCCATGAGGATGCAGATAACCTTTGCTCTGCTCTTGTTTTGAGATTGCTATCCTATAAGCAAAATAATCGAAGCTAATCCAGTTGTTTACACTCTTCTGTTCCTTGCTGCTGCCACAAAGCACTTTCCTAGCTTCCTGCTCATTTTCTCAACCACCATCCCTAAAGGCTACCCAGCTTTGAGAAGGATACAGGAAACAAATTAGATTGCAGACATGGAATGCACTGTATGACAGTGCACACAAGGCCTCCGTATAACACTCCCAGAAACACAGGAAAGACTGGTTCAGAAACATCTCCTTGGAAAACCATCTTGGGTAAATTACTAAGATGTGATTTATTGCTATCGGCCCTAAAGAAGGTTGAACTGAACTGGAAGGTTGGCTTCCTGTGTGGTTGCAGACCTGCTTAAAAGTTAAGGATTTGGAGAGGGTGAAAGCCAACATCACATGATTGGAAGTCAGCTCATACAGTGGGGTTTTTTCTCTTCTCTTCTCCCCAGCAGCCTTCTGCTGCCCCATCTTTTCTAGGAATTCCCCAATCCTCCCCAACAGATTTTGATGGTATAGAAGGGTGGCAAGGAGAGAGTGAAAACCAACTGAACACCACCCCATATTGAGAGCTACCGGCCTGCATTACTCGAGGATTATGTGAGCCATACTCCAACTCAGATACAGGCATAGGTAAGCCCTGACTCTAAGAAATGGTGGCCTTGGTGGTTTCTACATACTTGAGACAACCTCTTCTGACAGAAAATCAATAGCTTATCTGGAACCTTCTGATTGATGCTCAAAGTGATGCCTGGTGAGATTTCCAAAATAAGTCAGGTAACACACAGGATTGTTTTTCAGTCAAGAAAAGGGTTCTGGGATATATTGATCAGGCCAGACCCCTCCGTTTCCCACATCCCACGGCTTTGGCCCTGGTTTCCTCTTCTCCAGATTATCAGTAGCAGCAAATCTTTGAGTCATTAAAGAAAACATCCCTGCAACACCAACATATAATATCCTTGCTTGCAGTGTTGAGCTGGCACAGTGTTCCATATAACAAGGTGATAATGCTGCACAAATCTACTGGGAAGCAAAATCTCTTCAAAGTAGTGGGATAACTACTTTGAGCGCTTGTCGGTAGGACGGGATATAAATGTTTGTAATAAATAAAATAAATAACATCATGAATTTAGGTGCACAAGATTAGGATCACAGCATTAATTTTGTGGCCCTGTGAACCTGAGAATTAGACTCCTGCTCATTCTGTTCTCTCTGCTCAACTGAGTTCATCATATACACTAGTTCACCATGGAACTCTAAAGTATACACTTGAGATGTGTGCTGTCATGCTTGGAAATATGTTTCCCTCTTTCCCTCTAGCAGTTCTGTTTTGATCTGCCTTCAGAGAAAATAACAATACTGCACAATTTTAACATCAAGAAAATGTCTCTTCCTTCCTTTATTTTGCATAGCAACTAGAACAAAGGTTCGTTTACTAATTCCCTGGATGTGAAACTTGCATTAATAACTCATTTGCACAGTGCACAGAAAAAAGTGAAGTTAGCAACACTTCCTATCTGAACAACATTCCTCACCGAAGGCCCATTACCAAGGTCAAAGGAAGATGAACTTAAATATTTGTTTATAGTGATTATGGCAGACCTCCAAGAATTTTAAGACTAATTGGCAACACAAGCAATTTGGCTTTGAAGAAAAGAGGTTTTCCTCTTTTCAAAAATCTGTTTCTTATTGCTGTTTCTTTCTTTCCTGTCATACCTTAAATGAAGCTACACATATTAGCGGTGAAGGGTGAACTGACTAATCCAGCAATTGAAGACTTCTAGATCCTACAGAAGGTTAAAAGTGCAGCTAGATGAACACAAAATATCTTTCAGTGTATTGAGATTTAAGGCACAATTGTATTTAGACAGAAAGAAGACCTACAACTCCAAGCACTCCCCAGCCAGAGATGCCTAGCTGAGAAATGCTAGGAATTGTAGCACTTTCCCCTGTCTAAATATGCATACAATTGTACCCTTAGGAACTGACTACAAGAAAGCATGCTAAGAGAGACCAGATGGTTCAAAACAACAACAGATCGCTTTGGAATAGAGGAATTTAGAAAATGGAAGTAGGAAGGGGAAGAAGGCTTTTTGCTTTCCCCATTTGCCACCTCTCCACTCTTTGTCTCCCCCCACCATTGCAAAAATGCAACTGAATTTATGCTGGAGAGGGGGAACATGGGGGAGAGGTTATCTGGAGGAAAGAAATGTGGGGTGAAGCAAGAACTAAGTCCCACTCTCCTTCACTTTTTCTTCACTCCAAATTCTCCCTCCAACAGCAGCATCTCATCTATAAACCAAAAAGCAACAGGTTTCTGTGCAGTGTGTTGTTACATTTCAGTAAAATCCTTCCTTCAGACAAAAGAACTATTGTGGTGGAGTCAAGTGCTTAATAAGAATATGGACATCTGGGTTCAAATCCGTGCTAAGACACAAAGCTCCTTGGGCCATCACAGCCTTATTTGTCTTACAGGTTACTTGTGAGGATAAATGGGGGAGTTATTATTTAAACCACTCTAAGCTCCTTTGAGGAATGGGAGGACAACAGTTAATCCACAAATAATTAGTTCATTATCTAACTTGGGAAAACCTGCTTGATTCCAAGCAGTCAAGGGTCCCACAATCTTGATTAATAGATAGATGACATATAGCCTGGTCTAGTCAGATGCAGGGATTGCTATCTATCCACCCTGGAAGGTCCAAGGTGGAGCTTGTCTCAAAATGCATATGAATACCCCTTACTTCGCACAACATTCTCCCTTCTGCTCTCTCTCCACCAGCCATGGCTTTACCACCAGCCCAGATCCTTAGACAAAGTTGCCTGGTGGGCATCCCCCAGTAGAGATGCCCAAGCAGTGGCACAGTTTCCCCCTTACCTCTCTTTCATGGTGCCCAAAACCTTCTTCGGGGCTCCTAAGATTGAGGACGTGAACTTCCTGTGGCAATCCAGCAGTCCCTTTGGTTGCACAGCCAGATAAGACTGTAAAGCTCTCCAGCAAGGCTTGAACTGGGTGTGAACTGTTGACAGGTGACAATACACACTCATTTGCAGGCACTGGACCTGCAGAGGTAATGACAAATTGAACACTGCTTTGAGAAGAAAGGCTACAGAGTATATGAAATTAGAGCATGATTCAGTTGGATTTTCCTTATCAGTTTGAGGTCTATTATATTATAAACTGTAGAAGGTTCCAAGCAGATAATATGCAAGTTACAAACAGCAACAACAATATTAATGAAACAAGTTGGGTGCAATCAATCAAAACTCAAACTCACACACTAAAATCAGTAGAGAGCTAAGTGCCCAGTTACAATCCTAAGGCTGCAACTCTATGCATGCATTCTTGAAAGCAACAGAACCTATTTCTAGGTAAACCAGTTTACGGTTGTGCTACAAGGATGAATTCTATGCATACTTTCTAGACAGTCAATCCCACTGAGTCTTACATTCTGAATAAAAGTTAGGATTACTGACAGTCCCCGAGTGATGAACGTCTGAGTTATGAACAACCTGTATTTTTGAACAAACTGCCATAAAGCCTAATACTTTTTTAAACAAATTACTGTGGAAAATTGTCAAAACCATAGAGAAAGAGGAAATCTTCCTCAATTTCCTTATTGCAAAGAGGAAGCACTGGTGAGTTGGCCAGAGTGGGGGTATTTGCATTTTTTCCAGTGTCAAGGGGGTCCACCACTCCTAATTCCCACAAATGTGGAGGGCTTACTATACGTAATCTGACTAATCTATATGTAATCTAAAAATTATGAATGGAATGTATAGTTCAACCTAAACTCATTTACATTTTATGGGCAGTATTTTAAAGCTTCCCCATGCTAGGGCAAAAGAGATTCAGTGGTTCCTGAAACAAGGGGAAACAAGTAACAATGCTAGTTTCCAAAAAAAAAAAAAAAAAAAGATCTTGTTGACTGAACTATTCTGGAAATTAGCACTGTCATTCATTTCTGTGCTTAGTTCAGGAACTACAAGTTGCTTCTACTGGCCCAACAGAACTAGCAAGAGGCTCAGCGGCAATATAGGTTACCATCTTATGGGTTTTAATGGGATTTATGTAGGATTATAGTCTTAGGTCCACTTGCATTTCTTTTCATTGCATGCACTGTTACAAATACAGCCTTCTGCAATATGTTCCCACTGACTGGGTTCACACAACACAGTAAGCCACAGTGGCTTACAAGCCAGGCGAGGCTTGTTGTGATGTCTGAACCCAGTCAATGGCAAGATTAGTATCAGCTAACTAGCATTTAATGAATACATGGTTCTTCTAAATGTACTGATTTTGCAAATCAAATGTTGCCTTGCAGTTACATATTAGACCCGGGACTGAAGATCTATTATTAAAAAGGTCTTTATTAAAAACTAACTCAACCAGAAATTAATCAGATGATCTTAGCAAGCAGTTTTTCACCTCTGAGTTCTTCATCTTCAGTGTAAGAATGATTATGACTTCTCTGCTCTCTTGCAAGACACAAGAATGGGCAGTGCTCTATGCAGGGTGGATTTGATTTAAATCACTAGTCAGTAAAACTAGGTTTAAATCATGGTTTTCTACATAATTTGCATGTGTGCATGCCTGACTCAGGTAGAGGAACTTCACTGAAATATTTCCAAACTGCATCTCATTTATGACTTGCTGCATTATACGTTTTCTATTCCAGGGAAAGAATAATATGATAAACCGCAGGTTTTACACAAAAAGATCTAAAGTGATCCATAGGATCTTTTCTTGAAAAGCATTCTGCTCAAAAGGTTTCACTTTCATTTTTACTGTGTGCCCCTCCCTCCTCACACTTAGCTTCTTGTGTAGATCTATTCCACTCCCAAGAATCTTTGTAGTCACTGAATTTTTTGAAACTTCGTGTTTAAGAGGTAAGGGGTTGATTCTGTGTACATAGATTTACAAAGGAACAATGGGATTAAGGTCTGTAGGTTTATTTTATAACATTTTTGCTGTGAAAAGAGGCACGTGTTCTCTGCAGACACAAATTCACAGTTCTGAGAACTGTAAAACAAAGCATCTGTGAAAATAACTTCTAGACAGAAAAATTTTCCAATAGTCTTACAGAAACCTCTGGAAGAGCATGTCATTGTTCATGGATTAATGGAAATCATTTACCAAAAATGTAAACATTGCATGTATATACAACCTCATGCTACATAATTAAAAACTAATTCTTATATCATGTGGAATAACCTTTGTACTATAATGTATCTTAAATAGAAAACTATCTTTAGATAGTTCCCTGACACCGCCCCCCAAAAGGATATTGTTGAAAAAATCCAATTTAATTCAAAAAATTCTGATTTAAATAAATAATCATTGATTTTTATTCACCCTGGTTCTATGTAATAGAAATGAAAAGGTAATGCCTCAAATTATGGTTTTTGTAAGAGGAGGAGGGTGTGAGGGGAAAATGCTAGAATTTTTTGCATGGTGGAACTATGGTGGAACTAAGATACAGATTAACCACACACTCTTGTTGCAAATCTGAAAAAGAACCCTACGACCAATGTATGATCACTGCAGTCCTGCTGATTTTGCATTGATTTATAATGCAAACACCACTTAGGAAAGTCACCATGATACTGCAGGCATCCAGATGCCTGGAGTATTGGACTCTGATAGCAATTCCTGAAGCTGATAGCAGCCCTTTCTAGCCCCAAGTACAGGCAACGTCCTTGCAAATAATCTCCTCAACATGATATAGTACCGTTCTTCTTCATGCTGTATAAAGTATTGTGGTTGCGGTAAAGCACAACAACATGGCAGCGGAAGTGTGTGGCGGGATCAATAAATACAGCACATCTGCAGGAAGCTCAAGGCAGGCAAATATTTATGGAAAACAATCCTGCTTCTCCAAATCTACATACAAGCCCACAGTGATAGCCAGAGATTCTGCATGTTTTTCATTCCAGAGGTCAGAGGAGGAGTACTGTGGTTTTCACTTCTACCTCACACACTTCAACATTAGTCGTACACTGTAGCTGAATGCAAACTGGAAACAAAAATATAAAACATGGCTGTATCTCAGGATACAACTCCTCCCATAGGAGTCCCCCATCACTTCCTCAACAATGAAATGATCTGCAGAGGTCTACTCCTTCTGCCACTTCTAGTGGATGTTTGCTCTGTGAGCACTATCTTTTTTAGTATTAGCACTTTCAGAATGCTCCCTCCAGCAGGCATGGCAAGACTAAACTTGAGGACACAAGCAGTGAGCTATATATCCTCCTTTCAGAGTTTGGTAGTTCCTAGTTTTTCTGAGGTTTCTATGCTTTATGGATAGCTCCTCATTAGATTGCAATTATTGAATGCTATACATTTTGACAGTATGATTTGCTTTTGTTCTACATTATGTTTCTGAGCATCACCTAGGGCACATTTCTGAGAAAAGGTGGTATAGATTCTATTTAACAATGGATTCTATTATAGGATGCAGGTAAAATGGACACATCTGACAGGTCTGTTGTTATTGGATTGTGTTGTGTTTATATCTGTTTACAATCAACAAGGAGTGACACTAGCTTTCCAGGGTTTCCAAAAGGAGTCTTTCCCAGCCTTACTGGAGATGCTCAGGACTGAACCTGGAAACTTTTGGACACACAACAAGCATTGTACCATGGAGGTGCCACACAGGCTCGGTTCACACAACATGACAAGCCAAAGTACAGACTGTCTATTGGTCAGGTGTGTGTTCTTACTGAATTCTGGGTTGCTGTGTGATTCAAACAGCGCTAACAAAGTTTAGTTTGTTTACCACAAAGAGCCCATAAAAATTACCCTTGGTTTCTTTGTGGGTTGTTTACAGTTAACAAACCATGTTTTGATACCACAGCTGGATTCGCATAGCATAACAACCTATGATTCAGTGACGACCCATGGCTCAACAGCAGCCCACACTCGATTCACAGTCGAACCATACTTTGGCTTCTCATGTTGTATGAACTAACTCAATCAGTTCCTAATGAGTTATCTAGATGAAGTGGTTACAAAATGTGTTGCATGTTTGTCCATCCATCCTGGGGTTCACCCAGAGATGCTTCCCTTGAGACCCATCAAAACCCTTGCCCCTCCTATTTTATGTGTGTGTATGCACACACAGTTCGGGAAGCTACAGAGGAAAGTGTGTGGCTTGCAACCACTCTTCTTTATTTTGTGCACCCAGAATGCTTCGGGGCCCATTCTCAGCAAGGGATAATCATGTCCAGCTGCAGACTAAGTGCCTCAGTTTGCCATATGTTTGGGTTCAACAAATTTCTCAGCAAAAAAAGTGGACACTGAGAAGTGTAATGGCAGGACTGCCATCTAAAACATCTGGCAAAGAACCATGTTGAGGAAGTCTGTGCTAGGGTCTTACTAGGAGTAGGGGGGAAGGGCAAATGACAAAAGAAGTAGCATCTTCTCCTGCCCTTCTTCATCTGCAATTGCTCTAATACTCCAGAACTCCATTCCAAGGGCCAAAATAGGCATTACTTGAAACGTGTGTCAAATAACTGCAGTCTTTTTATTTTTTGTCTTAGAACAGATATAGCAGTAGTGTGGGGGTGTATAGGGGGGATTTTATGATCATGAAGGGAGGGCTGTGCCTATTCTAAAATAAAAATGAAAGGGGGGAAAACCCATAAAGCTGTTGAAACCATCTTTCAAGTAACAACTCTTTTGAGGTTTCTGCCACAACATGCCATTTATTCAATTAATTAATCATCCAAATCTTGCTCTGTGGAAGGTAATTAGAGATGACTACAGCCGTCAGTAACCATTCTGAGCCAGTTCGACAAATAACTGACACGCCGATGAATTATACCAGCAACCATCTAGAGTATGTGTTTGGTGTATCTGATCTTTCTTGGATTGACCCAGGACAGTAACTGAACGTCCTAGACATTCTCACTAGCCCATGTCTGTGTAACCATAGACAGTATAAACACAAAACAACACTGACCCTCCAGTACTACTGCCTGTGAGTCATATTCCCCAACAATGAGAGTTCAACATCAAAACAAACAGTTTCTTGCTTTGACGGCGTACTTGTCTGCTGCCA